CTATACGATCTGTTGCTCCAACGAGTTTGGTTATCCCTGAATTTGACCAAGTAATAATTATAAGCCTTCGCTTCTTAAAGATCGCGAGAATAATGGTAAAAATTTTATTTCTTTGATACTGGTAGCTCTAATGCTTGCGCTTAATTATCCTGTATTTTTGGTGAACGAACTGGTTTACTAGCCCTAGCTCCCACTGTTTCTATCCTATTTCTATCTATAATACCAAGTCTATGACTTACTATGCCCTAGTCTTTTGTGTGCCAACCCACCTAATCAAAGCCAGCAGGTGATGGACGAATTACGTTTCGAGTAGCACTGATTGGGGGCAGGAGTCGAGTGAAATAAATGTACCACGGAGATAGCAGACGGATTCTACGGGGGCAAGAGGGAGACTGATAGGACCCAGGCAAGGACTACGTAACAATATGACAGACTCTGGTCAACATTTCCAGGACAAGGGTGAAGAGGGTGATAACGACAGCGTGGAGTGTGAAGGGTTTTTATGAGTTTCGCTCGAAGGAGCACATCACACTACATTAAAAATAAGTGCTGTAAATATTGTGACAAGGGAGGCATGCTAGGAGGATATAGGAAATGCGAAAAGCCCAGGACAGAAGGCGAGTTACCACAACTGTTTAGCTTCACTTGTCTCTGACAAGTTGTAATATAGTGCTACGAATGACGAGACTCACTGACGATGCCGGCGAAACGTCTGGGAATGTACCACGTCCATGGTCCGATTTGGGAAATGATCATGCATACAATGGACTCCGAACTAGGTGCGTTCATCGAAGTATTCCTACCAATTAGACCAAGTTGCGAAAACAAGGTCAAACAACTTCTGAACTTATTTACAGTTGACCTAAGATTTATCCTGTTTACCAATTCGTAAGTCTCAATGACGACTTGACACGTTTTTTATGTACAATGTGATACAAGATAGTCCTTTAAAAAGTGGCCGAAGTACCACACATTAAGCTTTTTAATTACCTGTAGATACTAACAGTAATTTGGTTTAGATTAATCCCGATAATAACTTCTTTGTATCCGACGCGGTGCTCGGCCGTTCCATCAACTCACTCCAGATTGCATTCTATCAATACCCATTTATAATAAGGCAACTACTGTCATTGTGAAGAAATCCTCATCCATCGACTCTTAGCTAGAAGAAATTGGCTTTGATGATAAAGGCTAGTTTCCAAATGGATATTATGTTCACTATAAGGGGCAGTATAAATCAAGTTTTTTTAAGTCCTTCCATGGACATCATAAGATTGTATTTCAGTCTTCTTTATTCGGATTCACAATATTAGGACCCAAGAGATTGGCTTTCACGACGTGAGATAGAATAGCCTCCTTTAGTTGAGGGATGTGCACGGAATAGGAAGCAAGAACAGTTTAAGAATCATTACTAGAAGATAATGAAGAGAGAGTGGAAGTCATTGTGGAGGAAAGAGGAGAGGTAGTGTTAGTCGAAGATGAGGAAGACGATGAATCTGTTGAAGAGGTCAATGAAATCTCATTACTTGGTGAGGCCAGACGAGAAAATGGATAACGATAATTGATACGATCTTGAATGGAGATGGCTCCGTTCGACTCGGCAAGTCTCAAGTCGTTAGAACCAAAAGTCAGTCGGGCTGTATTTACCCGTCCATCAGGCAAATCGTCGTCATCTGTCCCCGAATCCGCTCCTGAATCGCCATAATTACTGGCAATCGGATTAGGATTAGCAGATGCATCTTGGGGGCCGTTACTGCCGTTCTCTTCCTCATCATCATCATGATTATTTCTGTTTTCCAGAAGACTTCTTCGTGCCGGACTACTTAAAAGCGACATAAGGCTAGGAAGCATGAATCTTGAATGTACTCCAGATTGCCCTTGATCTTGTTCTTCATCATGTCTGTCGTTATCCTCGGAATCATGCTGTTCATTCTCGTTTGGCTCTCTTGAATCTCCGTTGCTACGCTCTGTTTGTATTCCAGCCCTATCTGTGGTCCTGTCTATTCGAGCAGGTCGACTGGATGAGAAGTCTTCATCAGATATCTGGCCCAGGAAGGAACGGACCTCGTTGAAAATAGTAGACGTGAGCATTGAGAAGGCCTGAATTTCGGTGGAAATATAAATGAAAAGGCAATATAGCTAGTAATAGTGAAGGATTGATTACAGGGGCCTTGATTTGGAGTTTATAATTTTAATCTTTCGCTCTCTTGACTTATTAAGGCCTCGCGATAAGATGAAAAATGACAGAAAGAAAGCAATAATGTATTACCCTGTTTTTACCTTTAGCCTCGATCCAATATACGATGTAAGATGAACCAAATAAATTGTACCATAAGAACACGTACTTAACAGTAAATGAAATTGCAGGCCTCACCATAACCTCCACTAGAGTTCGTGACTGGGACATCCTTCTCTCTTGATGTAAGTCATTTGAAGAGTCAGCTACTCCATTGTCTGGCCTTTTTAAGATGGGGGCCTGTAAAAAAACCACTAACATTCCTGTTAGGATATTAGGTCGTTACACTAAGCACAGTTTCTGCAAAGACTTTGTTAAATATATGAAGAATAAGATCATGTGGCCTTCGAATTGATTCCCCTTAACTTTATCTCACTAGTAGCCGAATGGCGGTTTCAGGGAGCACACTCCGTTCTGCCATTCATATACTGTTTACAGCGTCGAGAAGCTTGCCGAGTACATTCAGACATCTCGCCAGCATCGTTGGTAAATGGCATCATCCTTGACACATTGTAATTCTTCAATGTAACAATCTTCTGTAGGACAATTTGTGAAGAGTAGTCGTCTTTAATCGTGCATAGCCTAATTTTGCAGTCCTAATGATAATGGCATAGATGGAAGCATTACTATGTGAAATTAAATGTAAAAGTGAGACCTACTCATGCCATTGTGGACAACTTTCACTCAACTTTAGTCGAAATTGTGTGATCAGATGATAAAATGCCTTATTAAGAACATCACTAGGATACCGT